ACAGAAGAGCGAGAAGGAGTAAAAAATAGCTAAACCAGACTTCAAACTCTAGCCTTCCATAACTTCACAGACTGTGAATATTCCAACCTCCTTTTTTCATGTACTGTACACTGAGAAGCAGAGAATGATGGAGGACCCATGAAATTTTGCATCCACTGCTTTAATACAATGCTATTTTACTTTTATCCATTCATCAGTGTAGCAAATTACCACTTCTCTCTTCATCAAAGCAGCATGGAAATTGGTGTGAGGCCTGGTAGAGTCATCTTTGCACAGGAGTCCTGATCTATGACAAAAGGACTGATGCACATATAATATCATAGTATCATAATTGTGAAAAGGGAGAATTTCTGTTTAAAGCATCTAATAAAGGAAAAAAATATATACTCTACATTGTTTATTAGGGTCAAATGTAAAGCTTAAAGTCATTGCATTAACACATCTTCTAATGTTGCTCAAGATTATTCCTATGTCCAGATTCTTGTCTACAAGATTAACATAACAAGGATGCTTGAGGCAATGGTTAAAGTACAAACTAAGAAAACTATTGTCCATCGTGGACACTAAAAATATGGATTATATACACTGATTTGCTTGTATGTGCCTTATATGGGCTACCCCTGGCAAACAGTCTGGTTATTAATACTTGTTAACACAAAGATGAGTGTGTACATGGTATCCATGTCACACAATACAAAATTGTTTAGGGTGTATCTGCCCAAAAGTGACAGATCATATTAAAGAGAATTATGAACATCAGTCAGATGAAACAATAATCAGAGATCGCAGGATCATAAAATATCTTGAGATGGAAGAGACAATGAAACATCAAATTCAGGCCCTCCACGGGACAACCCCAATAATCACACCATGTGCCTGACAGCATCGTCCAAACATTTCTAGAACTCTGTCGGGCTTGGTGCTTTAGCCAATTCCCTGGAGAGCCTGTTCCAGCCCAAGCACCCTTTGGGTGAAGAACTATTTTCTCATATCCAAACGAAACCTCCTCTGACACAGCTTCAGGCCATTGGGTGCTGTCACTGGTCACCAGAGAGAAGAGATTAGTGTCTGTACCACCTCTACTCCCTACAAGGAAGTTGTAGGCTGTGCTGAGGTCTCCCTCAGTCTCCTCCAGGCTGAACAGACTCTGTGACGTCATATGGCTTCCCCTCAAGGCCTTTCACCATCTTAGTAGCCCTCCTTTGGACACTCTGTAATAGCTTTACATCTTTATTATGTTGTGGTGCCCAACACTGCACACAATATTCAAAGTGAGGCCACCTCAGTGCAGAGCAGAGCAGGACAATCCTCTCCAGTTGGTGATGCTGTGCCTACCCCAGGACAGGGTTGGCCCTCCTGGCTGCCAGGGCACTGCTGACTCACATTCAACTTGCCATTGAACAAGACCCCCAGGTCAGCTCAGAATGATGTTGGGAGCAAAGGACTCAACCTGAAAGGAAGTATAAACTAAGCTTGAAAATTTGTGACAATGGAGTGAGGTAGTGGGGGTGAGAGCAAAAGGCAAAAGCCTGCCAGAAGTGATCTTGTGCCCTCTGCCACAAGCCCTTCCAGCAACCATGTGGAGCTCACTCTCAGCCACCATAGGTACACCCTGGGGATCTGTACCCTGAGTGAATGGGGCTTTCTTCCTGGGACTGTCACCTCTGGGGTAAGGAATGACAGAACAAAGCTCAAGCTCAGGATGCGGCTCTTGCACAAGCAGGTTTTTGTAGATGGGGTCCCTCATGTTGAGAGGAAAGGGATCTACACCCTCCAAAACCTATGGCAATGGGTGCATGTTTCTGCATGTGTGTGCATGTGTGGATGTGTTCATCCACAATTAGAAGTTCTTGGGATTAGTTATAGAAGGGTGTTTCAAAATGTCCAGGTCTTTCAATTTATTAACTTTTTAAAATTATCTAAGTGACAAGGATTATTGTACTAGTATTGACTCTCAATACATAGTTCATTGATGCCTAGTTATGTGGTTAATAAATTAATAAGTCACTTCAATTTTGATTTGATTTAAACTCCAAATATTTCCCTGCAGCAGCAAGTCTCCACTTTCATCTAAAAAAAAAATCATAAATAACTGCAAGGATTTTTGTGATTTCTAGACTTCTAAACACTCCTGTGACAAAGAGGGGAAAAAGAAAATTAAAAGAAATAAGAAAATACTGGTATTTTTCCTATTATTTTTCCCTGATTATGAGATGTTCTGGTTAATTCAGGAAAAGAAGACACACAAAATATAGCAGCACTGAATGTTTATAATCTCTCTAATGTTAGCAAGGTTAGCAATGTTTGATGAATCCACATGAAATACCAACTAACTTTGTGATTCTGTTATACATTTGTATTAATGCATACTGAAAAGGCTTTGCTTATCGAAGCAGCAACAACATCCCTACAAGCAATAGCTAATAACGCACCTTGGGGCATATACTGATGCTAAGAATATAGTATTAATTTTTAGACACTTTCAGGAAAGTATAAATTTTAGACAAACCAATACAGTTTTCTGTAACAAGGTACTTCGTACTAAAGTGTGCATAAATTATCAAATAACCCCCATCTAGAAGATTCTTAGCAACAAAAATGTAAATATCATTAGTGTTTATCTATGAAATACTGTTGCAATGGAACCTATTCACATTTCCTTTTATTTAGAGAATAAATAAAGTGGTCCACAGACCTCTTGCTTCTAAACATTACTGAAGACCTCATGACAGCAGTCTTTTATCTTTCAATGAAGTGAAAATTGCAAAAAAAAAAAAAAAAAAAAGAGAACTACAGATGAATATTTACAAAACAGAGAAAAAAAAAATTCAAACGAAAATTTCCATCCAAAAATATAAGCTTATCCTGGCTTTCACCAATAAATTGATAAAAATATTTAGTGTCTTTGTGTCTATTCACACTAAATATACAAATACTTCTCCCTAAAGACTTGGATTTCCCCATAGTTTGACAGGGCGTCAGTCAGAACACATGTAGATACAATGGAAAATGTTCTGAAATTCTTAACAAGGGTAGATAGGCAGAAATTCAAAATACAATGTAGGTCAGATCTTTCCACTTACTTCAGCTATGATTTGAAGAAGGGAATTAAATTCCCATATCTCACTGACTTTCACTGGGATTTGGGAACCAGACACTTCTTTAAAAACCCTAGCTTTTATTGAAAATTCTCACAGTCACTTTGAGAACCATCCTCTTGTGTGTCAGGTGCACTTTAACTGGATTTGAAGGCAGTTACTCCTCCCCTCACTGGACTCACAGATACTCCTTTGTAAGCTGTAATGTGGGCTCTTCAATACATTTAGTTCTATGAATAATTAATGTGTCTCCTGCTCTCACCACTTGATTTCCAGTTATTTGTGTTGCATGCAGTATGCTGAGCCAGTTTCATAGCTCCTAGACTAAAATGCAGGTTTCCAATCTCATAAAGTGTAATGGGATATGAAAAATAAGAGTTTAAATAATAATAAAGAGCTGTAAACCTGTCTCACATTTCTTAAAAATACTAAAACTAAAATCCCCAAGAAAGAAAAAGTAGGTGTTGTTTATGGAAAAGAAATAGAAGAGTCTATGCAAAAATTCAGTGAGTATCAGAGAGGGTTTTTTGTTTGATGTTTTATTTTGTTTGAGTTGGGGGAGTGTGTTTTGGCTTTAGTTTTTTTTCAATTCTGTTAAAAAAGAGAAAAAAACATTTGGAATATCATCTTTTGGTTGGTTTTCATTCATTTGCTAAACATAACTTGGACAGAGTTTACAAAAGCAAACATATCATTCAAGCTAGTCACCACACTTCATGGATGACTGAATAAAAATGAGTTTTTCAAGAGGTAACCAAAATTACTGCCTCAGTGAATCCATATGTACTTACATACTGGACATAGAAGAAAAAAATCAGTTATATGTCCTTCTAAGACAAAGTAGATCAATCTCATTGCTTCTATAAGATATAAGATGAATTTGAACAGACTGGATAATTTCCAGAAGCAGTTATATCAGTGCAGATAAAATAAAAAAAAGAGTAGCTGCAAGAAAACAGACTAGATTGAAAACTGAATGCAAAACCTCTAGGTCGTTCTGGAAGCAAGGAGAAGAGATCAGGAACTTTTTCTTATTGTGGTATTAAATTAAAATAGTAGTTAAAACTCTTAACAAATGTTGACATATTATATAAGTTTACATTTACTGATTTTAGAAAAATGTCTTCACCTTCATAGAAGCAGCTACTTATTGAAAATTCTTTTCTGTGAGTGATGTGATGAAAAGTTGCAGTTTATTCATTACAGTTTAACTGAAGTACTTCAATTAATTTAAAATAATTTGTACAAAAAAGAGGAGGAAAATCTACTTCTGTTACTAAAGCAATGGAAATCTGGAGTAGTTTCTGTGAATTCACTGAGTTTTAATTCACATTTTAATTTGTTGTTTTATTTTTCTGCACCTTTTTATCAGAGACTTAAATAAATAAATATTTAAATAAATTTAATGCCTTGATCCTACCACTAAACCAAAAAAAAAAATCACTTGCTAATTGCAGAATCCATCAAAACAGAATTAGAAAATTATATCAGAATTTTTTTTATTATTATTATTTGAAAGACAATTTTTTTTTTTAATTCTTTAGCATGGTATTCTTACTTACTTTTTTAATTTAGGGGGAGATTTCAGGACTCATTCCTTTTTGATTCTTAAGCATCATTCAATTTGCTTTCTCCAAAAGCTGAGCAGCAAAAAAGCCTTGATCAGGGATTGCAATCTTTTCCTTTCAACTTAAAGCCTGAGAAACTTGACCTTTTTGCTGTTCACTCATTTAAATTTCCAGGTTCATACCTCAGAGATATATGGGGAGTTTGTAGTTCTGCAGGTGGGTGGAAGTGATACATGCATCTCAAGAGCAGAAAGAAGGATAGAGAAAACAGTGGGTGTGCAATAACTTTTCTTCTCTACAACACCTGACATCTTTGATTCTCTCCTCTTTGCAGCATCTCAATATGTTTGAGCAAGACAGTGCAAAGCAGCAATAACCCTCACAGTGTTTGTAAGAGGTTGAAACAAGGCTCCAGCCCGTCCTCCTGTCTCCAGAAGTGGCCCACAGCACCAGGTTACTGCAGTAAAGATACAGCCATGTTCTCTCAGAACATGTTCACAAGCTGAAGAAACATGCAGCATAGAAAATGTCAATGTGTTCTCTGTCTCTGGGATAAGTTGTAGATAGGTCTATCAAGTAGCCAAACAATGGAACAACATCCATAACAGATATATCAGGATGTATTTAGCTGCTTTAATATAGTTCAACTTTATGTGATGTACAAAAACAAAAATATACATATTTTCCAGACAGCGATATAATTTTACTTAGTCTGAAATATAGGAAAAACATTTCATATACATATAAATGGATTAAAATTCAGAATGCACAATAGATTTTTAACCACAAGTGTAAAGTTGTAGACAAGTACACTATATGTCCTTTTTGTGAAAACTTATATGCTTCCTAGTCTACTCTCAGTTCTATAAATATATGTATCAATAATAAATGTATGTGTAAATAAAATTGCTTGACACAAATGATGCTTAGCTTCTTTTTCTTTTGGATGCTCGTAAATATAACATGAAACCCAGACTTCTTTAAGCCAAAGAAGGTTTTGGAGATAAGACAAAATAATCTCCAGTTTCATTATGAAGCATAATATAATCCTAACACAGCACTGTAGATGTCAACTGAGCTCATGAGAGCAGAGGGTGCAGAAGTCATTACATATTTTGTTTGAAACCTCCTGTGAAAGTACTGAGAATTTATGTTTGTAACGTCCTCGTTAAAACACAAGGTTCAGACTGATGCTGTATAATATATTGTGAAAAATCAGCAGAGTTACTGGGACCAGTGGTATTTACTGCTGCACCCCAGAATGGGTGCTGACACCTTTTGTTGTGCTCACCCACAGTGGCTGCAGTGGCGCAAAGGCTGGCAGCTGTGGGGTGATGCACGTGAGAGGAGCCTGGGGACTGTTCTGTGCCAAACAGCTCTGGCAAAAAATGAGCACCTTGGTGTGTGCCAGAGCTTTGAAAGAGCCCACGGTCCCCTCAGCAGGTGTGCAGGGGTGGGACAAGGGGTGCATGCACACATCCCCAAGGGACTGCCCTGCCTCAGCCTCCCTTCCTTGCCTCACCGCTCACCAGAGAAGCTTTCATCAACTGTGTGCAACCCTTAGAGAATATGAGGGCAATTAAGTCTGGAGAAGGGGGAGGATGTATGACTTTGACACACTGTTTGTATTCCTGACTTGGGTATTGCTTTCTGCAATACCCAAGTCAGTGATCAAAAGTTTTCTTTTATTGGCAATAAATTTTATACAATTCTCTGACTCACAAATGTTTTGCCTGGGACAAGTTTGTTGCTGGTTTACAAGGTCTACCACACTCCTTTTCTAAGCATTCTCTCCACTGCTGGTGTGCAATAGCTCTTTGAGACACACATTTATTTGAAAAGGGCTCTAGAGGTGCAAGTTATTTCACTTGATCAAAGAAATAGAAGGCTTTAAGATTTATTGTCTTTCAGTGATATTATTTCCTCTCTCATTAGTATTTTCTTCTTTAGCTTGTCTAAGAAATTAATACCAGGTAAATAAAAATATTCTATCTTCATTTTTCCACTCATTTAGAGCTATACTCATCTACAATTATATCACATTAGCAATAGAAATGCTTCAAGTATTGCTGTGTTGAAAACACTACTTAATATTTCCTCTTACAAAGTCCAGCTTATTAAGGTAATATTAATGAATACTATTTTTTATTCTGTAAAAGGAGATGTGTTATAATTTTTTATTAAATTCTTCACTTTAAAAGTAAAACAAAGGAATTTCTGTAACTTTTTACCTTAATGAATTAAGTTTTATATACTCAGTCATTAATCAGAAAGTTTACACAAAAAGCAGGACATACGATCAGTCTAATACAAATAGGAAAAACTTCATTATCTCCCTAGAACTACATATAAATCTTAAGAAAATGAAATTGACTCAAATCTTTAGCTTTTGTACTGCCATTATTGATACATACTCTAAGTAGAAAGAAGGGGTAACAATTACTCAGAAAGTTATGAGGACACAGATAGAAGTTTTTCCAGCGGATCTGCCTGAATGCTTCTTCCTAATACAGAAGTAAATCTAAGTAAAATACGTTAATTATAAACTAGATTGGGCTCAGACAAAAAGCCCAAAATTTATACTCCATTTGGGTTCAAATAGCTGACAATGTCTTGTTATAATACGTGGTGTCATCTGTGTTGTCTTCTCCTAGAAAGGAAAGAGATTCAAGTGATCAACTGCAACAGTTTTAATTCCTTCAGTATCTTTGTATACAGTCCAGAGAATTCGCCAGGAGAAAACTGGCATTATACAGAGCTGCAAGAAATAAACTGGAGGAATTGGTAACAACTCTGTCTAATCTTGATTAAAGACTATTTTCTTCTCTTTAGCTTTGAAAGTTTTATTATAATACTGACATAGATACTCCGTCTAGAGTGTTGGATCTTCTGCTAGCATTGGTATCAAGCCTCATTTATTATTTATTTATTTATTGGGAAAAAGAAAACTCATGTAATACATTACTGCTGTTTTGTGGGACTGTATTCTGACACCAGTGGATGCTATGAAAACCAAGATGATGTTAAAATCATGTCTTGATGCAAGTCACAGAACAGGACTGCAAAATGGAAACATTGAGACCGTTCAAAATTTAGTTTCAAATTCTTAATAATTCACATTCTCTATTGTCAGTCTATTCCACTGAATTCTTCAAGTATGTATTTCCTATATATGGAGGTGCTTTTTAGCATGAAACCACTGTAAATCTAATGATTTTCCATTTTAAATAAGCCTTTTCATTATTTTTTTAAGATAAACAAATGCAAAAATATATTTAAAGCAAAAAAAATTAAATTCAAAAATACACTATTAAAATTTAAATAAAAATTTGAATATTGAGGCATAAAATAAGTTTTGCAGTTATTTCCACAACTGTTGAGTTCCTATTACTTTTTACTTCAAGTTGTATTTGACAGTCTTTGTCCTATTATCAAGCATAGAGAATATTTAAGATGAAAGATTTGACCGAGTGTTTATTTTTAATTTTGATTATGTTCATAATAGGAAAGAACTTGTTGAAATAGTCCAGGAAGAGAGAAGGACAGGGTAGGAGATTAAAAAAAAATAAAGAAAAGGAAGCTTTATCCTCTTCCTCTTCTTTTTATATTCTTCAGCTGTACACTTCAATAAGTTTATATTTTTTTCTGAAATTATTCACAATTTGAATAAATTTTTAGGCTCACGGTAAAGTGTTAATATTGTTTAACTGGTCTAATAGGGATAACTTACATCCTGTGCTGTCCACCCTTTATTACAGAATTTTACATGTTATAGCATCTATAATTTCTGATGTCTGGTTTGTTTGATCTAATACCCAGCATCTTCATTTTCATACTTTCTTTTTGGATATTTGATATATTTTAAAACTATTTTTCCAGGGCATGCAAAGGTGCTTTGGGTTTGGTGGAAGTTTGTTTTTTGCTTGCATGTTTTGGTTGTCTTTTTTTCCTAATTCCCTAGAGTGTCGGTTCTTGATTATTTTCTTCACTTATCTTTAAAAATGTCTTTGTTCTTCTTGTGTGTTTCTGTCTCTTTGCTTGTGACATTCTTTCTAACTATAAGTTTCCCTTAATTGGCAGGTTTGCATTTGAGTTTCCTACGTGGAATGACCTCTCGTTCCTTGTTCTGCAGTGTCAGGAAACAGAAATGTCATTGCTGATTAGGGGCCTGAACCCTCTGCTCCTCCTTCTCATACAGTAGGCAATCTTGTTCTGTACACACTCTAGCTGCAGGGTCAGCCTTAGGGGAACTCTAAACAAGTGTCCACATGGGATACCAAAGTGGAAGGGGCACTGGTAGGGGCAAGTATTCTTTGAGCTCATTTGTCTACCACAGAAAGACTCTTCTGTCCCTTTAAGTGTAAAATGTCCACTGGCATTGCCCAAGTGTGTACATTTTAACCAGACAGAAGCATTTTTGTGCCTCTGGCTTACTACACATGTACATCAGTGATGTTAATAACATCTCTGCCTAACAATGTGACACTGAGATGCACTTCTAATGGTTGTCTTTTCTCTGAACTGAGATACAAAAGCTTTCATTTTTGGTTCTGAAACCCTCTGTTAAACCAACTTTGACCTCATCCCAGGGCACGATTACCTAGTCTTGCTTGGGGCACCTGAAGCTCTAAAGATGGCCTTGTGTAGCTCTGGTTGAAAATCTCTCTGCTCAGTGCACAGAGTGCATCCTGTCATACAACTGAGTGGAAACCTCTGCTTTTTCCATTTTTGCTCCTCACCTAGGGAAGTGGAACAAACCAGAAGAGGGAGGAAGAGAAACTACACAGAAAAGAACAGAAGGTAGTGGCTTCAAGTGGCAGGGAACATGCATAAGACCAAAACTTCTCCCTAAACCAAAGGATTCTGCAAAACAGAGAAACTAAAAAGAGGGGAGTGGGAATAACACTTTAATTCTTACCATATTCGTAGCCTGAAGGAAGTCCATGGATGATCTACAAAGATGAGGAAATGGAAATGAAATTCAAAGGACTAACTGTGGATTCCTTTTACAGCAACTGAGAAAACTGATATTGCTTGGAGTATTTCAGGGATAAAGGAAGAGCTTTACTCTCTAGTGCAGGAGAGCAGTTCTATAGTCACAAGGATAGCTTGTTATCTACAACAACTTCACACCCAAACCAAATCTATTAATCCATCACATGGTCTTATAAACTCACATGAATTTAATTTTCATTTCACTTATGAATATTATGCATATGAATTTAACTTCTATTATGCTTATCTAAATAGCTTAAAAATAAAATATTTGTACACATTAGAAAATGTATTTTATAAAAAGTTGAACATCTGTGTGCCTATTTTGTCAGACAAGTGTACAGGTTTAGTATTAAGCAAGGTTATTGCTAATGTAGATTTTTATTCAACATCCTAAATAAATATCTATTTTTTTGTGAATTAATAAAGAAAAAACAGAAAGAGCATTTTTTATTTTTAAAAAATATGATTTAGAGGTGTCAATGAGCCACATTTCTACAAACTCCTTCAATAAGAGTAAGTAAAAACTTTTACCAGTTTCATAAAGCTATTTTTGGAAGAGATGTAAAATTCAGCTCCTCCTGACTGGCCTGTCATTAAAAATCCCATGACACTTTTCACAAAAGAAGGGCTATTAACCATAATATTCTGGCCAAAGTCCAAATCACTTTGTGGCTACCGAATCCCCAGCTGAAATAGTTAGTCTACATTTTCCTTAAAACCTTGCTGTGTAGGCCACCAGTTTTTTTCTAATAGACAATGTCATTTTGATAGGACTTATATGAACATTTAATATGATTATTGTGGATCAATGCAGTGATCCTTTAAAAGTTAACATAATAGCAAATCTATAAATTCTCAACAGCATTTAAAAAATCAGATAGTTTGAAAGAGATTATTTGGTTATTGGCATGCCCTTCTTTTGATA